TAATCTGAGGGAACACAAGAAAGCACTCTGCTCTTCTGCTGCCTGCTCTACAGGCTCGGGAGATCTTCAGAGTGGGAGCATGGGGCTTTGCCTAGGGTGCACGTTGTCACACAGTTGAGAGTTCAACTGGAGAAAGGGAACCCGGCACTGGACAGATGTCTTTGTCCTTGTCCACCCATTGCAAGATGTGTAATTGGGATGACTGAAAGTTTGGAAGTTGACAGCACTTCCCATAACGAGATTTAAGCCCAGAAAAAACACACAGTTGCCCAGGGCAGTCAACATCCAACTGCATCAGCCCTAAACAATGTGCTGAAGGGTGTTTAAGATACAAACACTGCCCAACAATCCAGCCACAGCCGTCAGCAAGCACGGCCTTGTGGTCCAGCTGCTTCTGCAAAGAAATCTCCATAGGTCTGTGGAGCTATGCTCCCCTCACAGCAACAACTGCCCTTAAACACCATCCCTAAGTGGTGCAGGATCATCAAATGCAACTATAGTGCAATTGATCCTAGTCTTCCTTCTCCCCAGCTCAATGTCTGGGCTGCATGGCTCACCTCAACTCCCTCCCTTCTCTGCTCCTGCAGTGTGAGGTGCCAGAGGGTGAGCAGAGCTCCTGGTTCAGATGTGTCTGCTGCAGGAGTGGATAGGAGACTGCATAACACTTGGGAACTGACCTATTGGAGGAGGGAGACCAAGGGAGGTGAAAGGCTGGGAGAAAGGAGAGACAAAGGCAGATGCATGGAAACTCTGTCTTCCTTCATTTTCCGGAACCTCATTTGATTCTCTGTGACATTTCTTACAGCTCTGATTTTATTACCTTGGGCACTTCCCCCCCCCACTTCTCCATGAAAGGTAGTCTGTTACCACCACAAAATCGAGTGCTTTTCTTACAAAGACGAGGACACAATAAAGTGTGTTTTTTTCATTCTTTGTGATCAGAAGTCCTTTCTTCCACCTTTACAGCACAGTAAGTGTTAAAATAATACCTACATGGATAAGTATGGAATTTCTTTAACCTAGAAGTGCAGTGAAACTTCTGACAATGGACTACTTTTCCCTCTGAATGACTGTTGCGCATGGAGTGAGAGGGAAGCAAAAATATACTTTATTGAGTTAACAAAGTTCAATGGTAAATGTGACAGTGGTTTAATAAGGTTCAATGGCAAGGTACACTTGATTACTTACTGCATAGAGGACAGGGTCAGACAAAACTGTCAGGGAGACCCTCCTCTTGAGTCATGAGGTTCAGAAAGGACCCCCTTGCTTTCTAAACTCCTTCTCAGAGAGGAGTCTAGGCGCAGCTGGATCCAATCCTAGTCCCAGACTTGGTCAACAGTTTATGTCTAATATACATGCAATCAATCCTTTATATCACTTAGCTAAGATTTCAAAGTTTAGCATGCTATTAGTCACTTACCAAGGATCTGTTGCTGCAAGGAATCTCTCAGCCTTGAGGAGTAACCTTGAGAGGCATCCCTACTCAAGGTGAGATCCTGGCATGCAGCCCACTGTTGTGCAGGAGAGCTCAAAGGGCTCTTGGGCTGCTCACTATTCATGGGGATAAGATGATTGACTTGTAGTCATATGCGCATACCGACCACAGATTTTAGTTTCCTCACTGTGATTACGTGGGTGCATTGCACAATAGCCTTTGGATATTGTGTTGTTATCTGTCTTCCGAATCCACTTTGAGTCAGATGCAGCCATCATGACCAGGCATGTCCATTCCAACCACCACTGGTGGTTACTGCCAGAGCGGGAGAGAAAGGTCAGGGGCTGGGGGTGGCGGGGTGAGGGGAACACACCGTCACACTATCCTGGGCCCAAACCTGAAGTCTAAACTTTCAGTTGCTTTGTTGACACTTTTTATATGATAGTGATAGTGATTCTTATCAAAAAGAGCTCCTTCTATGACTAAATCTACTCTTTGGTAGAATATCCACCTATTCTTATTTGTTCCTCATTCCCACTGTTTCCTTCATAAATATGCTTCAGAAAAACTGTGTTACATTTTTATTTGCTCCTGGCATATGAAGAAAGTGAACTCCCGTGAACTGGTCCTTATAAAGCCACCACTGCCTTAGACCTTTCCCTCTGTAACCACAAAAGACCAGGCCAGGCTCTATTGATTCTCTCGTGACTACTGTTTCTAGGGATGACTGGAGCATTTTTAAGTTCTGGATGCTCAAGGTGAGTTGTTCATCTCCTCAATCAATACTCAGTATTGATTTGTCATGACAGACATGATCAAGTGCATGAACAGAACCATAGGGTGTCACTTAATACATTGCTTTTGAGTTCAGGCCTTGCTCTAGGCTTCTAGTACTGCATGTGAGCAGAAGTGGAGTTGGTTCAATTTTTATTTTTATAGAAAATACTTTTGCAGTCAAAAAGTTGCTAATATGATGAGTAAACTTGCTGTGCTACACCTGTTCCCTTTATACTGTATGAGCTGCAGAGAAGAAAGCAGGTCAGATATCCACTTTGAGGTGTTGGCTGGTCGCAGTGATAACGCGGTATCATTCATGTTTACAAGCAACATAAGAGAATGAACCTGGAAAATGACAGCACACTTATAGCTCATCAGTCATCAATCTCACACTCTAGCAGGAATCTAGGAAGCAGAAATACTCATGAGCCTAGGTATTTCTGGGTGTCTAGAAAGTAAGCCCTCTTTGTCCTCAAAGGCAGTCAGCACTGCACTATCTTTGGCTTTCTCTTTTGGAAATAACTATATCGTAGTTATGTATGAATAGCTGATATATGAACTACCGCTGATACGGTTATATCACTCCGTATGTCAGTAAAGAAACAGTAGGATAGGAATGACCTTGGGATTTTGATAAAGGTGAATTCTGGAGCATCCTGGAAGGGTGCTGGGCAGCAGGTGACTTCTTTCCAAATATAGCAGGCAAGAAATGGGAGTGGTAGAGAAGCACCTGGACAGTTCTCTCTCCTACAAGTTTTTAACTCCAGCAGAACAGATCTGCCTGTTTTTCAGAGGAAAAATGTTTTTGCTTGTTTGAAAAATGTCATATTTTCTAGTGATGCTTCAATTTCAACATGTGAAGAAATGAAATTACTTTAAATGGATTACAAATTAAGTAAATTACTCCATATTAAGTAAATTACATTGTCTTCTGTGAAGCAAAGCCTTTCAGGGTATAAAGAAACTTTTGATGGTTTATACTGTTTATACTAACCCTCTCCTTTAGAAAATGCACATCTGTGACCTGAGAAGGGAACAAATGCTCAACAGCAAGCCCCGGAGTGGCTTTTTGTAGTTAGATGCTTACTACTTGCAATTTTTTGTCTGTTTTTGCAGTGGTTTGTGGTTTGGGGTTTTTTGATGCTGGGAGAAACAGACTGAGAACAAACCCAGATCACAACTTTTGATAGTGAGATATCTTATTTGAAGACTTCATATCCAAGATTTGAAATCCTCTTTTCCCACAGGTTTAAGAAACTTTTACAATTTGCATTGTCATCTCCCTGAGTGCCCCCATAGACCATCCCTGCCCAGGGCCCAGGACCCCATGTCAGGGCTGTCAGCCCCTGCCCCAGTGATGCCGCAGCAGGGCCAGTCTCCAGCTCCCCACAGCCCTGCCCTGCCTGGCCATGGGCCTCACTGTGCCGGGCCCACCCGTGGGCCCATGTCCCAGCCTGGCCTTGGCCCATCCCTGTCCTCAAGGAGGTGCCCGGTGCTCTCCGGCTGCCCTGCTCCGGACTTGGGGTGGGATGGGCCCTGGCTGCCAGCCCCTGCCTTGACCCACCATGGGGAGCTCCCACTGCTCCCAGCCCCCAGAGATGGTTTGTATTGAGAGATGCTTTGTACTACTCAATATTATTTAGAGCTAGAGAGAAATACCTGGAAAAGAAAAGATTTTTATGCACTCACCAGATTCCCAAGCACCAGTGGACTCTACAACAGAAAGGGAAATTTAACCAGCTAACTGCTTTTTCATGTTATGTGAAATCATGAGTTGTGCAATTACATGAATTTGGTAAGAATCAGGAGGGAAGTGATGAACGTTGTGTCTTGCAACACTTCCGATGGTATGGCAGTTCCCCAAAACACAAGCAGCAAGAGACACAGCCCTATATATAGCTATACAACCATTTAAAATACAAGTCTTTCCACCGTCCTTGAGCCTGAAGACTATGATAGAAAGATAAATGCGATAAGATGTTTCGAAATAGAAGGTAGGTTCATCTTTGTCTTTCCAGCTATTTTGTTTGCTGAGGTATTCACTGAGACTTTAGGAAGTCCAGGGGTGGAGGGGTGATGTCCCAGGCAAAATCTAAAAAGCTGTCAGAGGAATACATGGAGCTAAACTGAATGAAGTTTTTTGCAAATAAAGTATCTACTGCCTGCTAAGAAAGGTCCTAGCTACAATTTTTATTTTCTTCATGGGTTTGATACTGAATTTGTAGAAATTAGACACCACTCCTAGACCCATTTTTAAGCATATACTCAAAAACATCTTTGAAAGTACATGAACTAATGCCCTCACCAAACTTACCATATTCACCATTGGGTAACTCGAGCTGATTGATACTGCTGTGACCTATTTTGATATTTTCTGTTTGCAGCTGCTTACCCATCTGCTTGATGTGTATTCATCCTAACCTTTGTATATAGCAGATAGATAGACCTTAAGACAGCAGTCATCAAATGTATGTAACATTTATACAGTGCTCCCACGATCACCAGCTTTACGAATCATCACGTAAACTGTTTTGTTACAGAAAAGGATGACTTCTTTAACTTTATTACTGTTTATTTGAACATTTCTCTGACTGCCTATCTAATCTTTCCTCCCACCAGACTGACTGCCTATCTAATCTTTCCTCCCACCAGAACTGAGAGATGGTCAGATGGTGTAGAAGCAGGCATATGAGCAGGTCAGATTATACAAATTCAGAGGAGAGTGGTTCATACACGCATCTTTCACCGTGAGCAAGTTTCACTGTTTTCTGTCTCCAAGGAGGAAGAGATGGGTGCTCCTCTTTCACTCATCTTCATGACCCAGTGGATGCTGCTGATCACCCAGTTGTGTGTTGGCTGGCACTGCACAGACTGTGAGTAAAACACTTCCATGGGGCAATCCTCCAAGGTGGAGTGTAACGTGCTTCTCATTATGGGTAGTTGTGCTTAAGTTGCCTTCTGTCTTACATGTGCTAGGCAGTAACCTCTGCACCCAAAAATCTGGGAATCAGTCCTGCACCTTACTCATCGTATTACGTGACACTTGCAGTGGAGATGCCAGACTCACCTATTAGAAATTTGATGTTGACTCAGTGGAAAATGGAACTGAGTTGGATGAGCAGCATGAATTTCACTGAGGACTGGTGTTCAGTGACTGCAAGGAGATTTTCATAGAATCATAGAATGCTTTGGGATGGAAGGGACCTTTAAAGGTCATCTAATCCATCTCCCCTGCAATGAGCAGGGACATCTTCAACTAGATCAGGTTGCTCAGAGCCCCATCCAGCCTGTCCTTGAGTGTTTCCAAGGATGGGGCATCTACCACCTCTCTGGGCAACCCGTTCCAGTGTTTCACCACTCTCATTGTGAAGTTTCATCACCCTCATCGTGAAAAATGTTTTTCTTGGGTTTAGTCTAAATCTACCCTCCTTTAGTTTAACGCCTTCAGGGCTGCACTCAATCCCTTCATCCCCCAGCCTATATTGATACCAGGGATTGCCCTGCAGGACCTTGCACTTGGTCTTGTTGAACCTCGTGAGGTTCACACAGACCCATTTCTCAAGCTTGTCCAGGTCCCTCTGGATGGCATCCCGTCCCTCAGGCATGTCAACTGCACCACTCAGCTTGGTGTCATCTGCAAACTTGCTGAGGATGTACTTGATCCCACTATGTCATTGTTGAAGATATTGAACAGCACTGGCCCCAGTACGGACCCCTGAGGGACACCACTTGTCACTGATCTCCATCTGGACATCGAGGCATTGACCACTACGCTCTGGATGCGACCATCCAGCCAATTCCTTATCCACCGAACAGTCCACCCATCAAATCCATATCCTTCCAATTTAGAGAGAAGGATATTGTGGGGGACTGTGTCAAAGGCCTTACAGAAGTCCAGGTAGATGACATCCGTAGCTCTTCCCTCGTCCACTGATGCAGTTACTCCATCATAGAAGGCCACTAGGTTTGGTCAGGCAGGACTTGCCCTTGGTGAAGCCATGTTGGCTGTCTTGAATCACCTCCCTGTTGTCTATGTGCCTTACCATAGCTTCTAGAAGGATCTGTTCCATGATCTTCCTAGGCACAGAAGTGAAGCTGACAGGTCAGTAATTCCCAGGGTCCTCCTTTCTACCCTTTTTAAAAATGGCTGCAATGTTTCCCTTTTCCAGTCCCCAGGGACTTCACCTGACTGCCATGACTTTTCAAGTATCATGGAAAGTGGCTTGGCAACTACATCAGCCAATTCCCTTAGGACTCTGGGATGCATCTCAGTGGGATCCATAGACTAATGTACATTTAGGTTCCTCAGGCGGTTGCAAACCTGATCTTCTCTTACAGTGGGAGGACCTCTGCCTCCCTGATCCCCATCAAATGGTCCATTGACTTGGGAGGTGTGAGGAGAGAGGTTGCAAGTTGTTGAGTACCTCAGCCTTCTCCTTGTCTGTTGTTACCAGCTTGCCACTTTTGCTCATCAGAGGTGGTACGCGTTCTTTAACCTTCCTTTTCTGGTTGATGTACTTGTAGAAGTCCTTCTTATTATTCTTTGCATGCCTTACCAGGTTCAGCTGCAGCCAAGCCTTGGCCTTCCTGATCCCATCCTTACACAACCAGGCAGTGTCCCTGTACTCTTCCCCAGATACCAGTCCCTTCTTCCACTGCCTGTGCATTCTCTTCTTGGCCTTTAGTTTGACCCACAGGTAATGTCTCAGCCATGCCGGCCTCTTCCCTTCCTTGCCTGATTTCTTGCACCTGGGGATTGAGAGCTCTTGCGCTCTATGGAAAGTGTCCTTAAAGACCTGCCAGCTCTGTTTTGCTCCCTTCTCCCTGAGAGCCATTTCCCAGGAGTCCTGTTGATTAACTCCTTGAAGAGCTGGAAGTTTGCTTTCCTAAAATGCAGGGCCCTGACTATACTCTTCACCTGACCCTTACCTCTCCAGACTGTGAACTCTACCAATGCATGATCACTACAGCCAAGGCTGCCTCCAATCCTGACATCACCAATGAGCTTACTTGCATTGGTGACCACCAGGTACAGTACTGCATCCCCTCTGGTAGGGCTATCTATTACCTGGCTTAAGAAGTTGTCCTCCGTGCACTCCAAGAGTCTCCTAGACTGCCTACAGCCCACTGTGTTATTTTCCCAGCAGATGTCGGGGTGGTTGAAATCCCCCATCAGGACAAGAGCCTGTGAGCGTGAAACTTCCTGTAGCTGAAGGAAAAAGGCTTCATCAATAGGCTCCCCTTGATCAGGTGGTCTGTAGTAGACACCAACTACAAGGTTCCCTTTGTTGCCTCGGTCTCTAATTCTTACCCATAAACTTTCAACCTGCTCATGGCTGTTCTTCAGGGACAGTTCTTCACATTCTATCAATTTCTTGACATAGAGGGCAACGCCTCTGCCCCTCCTACCTCGCCTGTCCCTTCTGAACAGCCTGTAGCCTTCAATAGCTGCACTCCAGTCATGGGATTCATCCCACCAAGTTTCAGTGATGGCAACTAGGTCATAACTTTCTAGCAGCATGGTAGCTTCCAGCTCCTCCTGTTTGTTGCCCATGCTGCGTGCATTGGTGTAGAGGCACTTCAGCTGGGCTGTCATTTGTGTCAGCTTCTTGGAGGAACACCTCATGGTTCCCTTGAAGAATTTCTCTGATATTTCCCTGTTGGCTCCTATTACCTCAAGAGCACCTCGCTTATTCCCGTAAGACTTCGATTGTGCTGCAGTGTCTCCAGCATGCCTCAGATCAACAGGCTGAAGGCCCCTGCTAGCATCCCATCCCCCACTAGTACCCTGTCCCTCTAACCATGGTGTTCCATTCCACCCCTTATCACAGACAAACCTGATATCAACCCCCTCCCCCTTCAAATCTAGTTTAAAGCCCTGTCAATGAGCCCCACAAGCTCCTGAGCAAAGACTCTTTGAGAAAGGTGAATCCTGTCAGATGCCAGCAAGCCTGGTGCCGTGTAGGCCATCCCATTGCTGAAAAACCCAAAATTGTGATGTTGACACCAGCCACAGAGCCATGTATTAATGGACTGGATCCATTTGTTCCTTTCAATGTTTCTGCCTGCAACTGGAAGGAGGAAGGAAAAAATAACCTGTGCTCCTGATTCCCTCACCGACTGTCCCAAGGTCCTGAAGTCTCTCTTGATAGCTTTTGGACTACGAGTTGCAGCTTCTTCTCCACCTACATGGAAGATCAATAATGGGTAGTAGTCAGAGGGCTGTACCAGGCTGGGAAGTTTCCTGGTGATGTCCTTAACCTGGGCCCCAGGGAGGCAGCAGACTTCCCTTTGAG